AGTAACAGATTGTTGTTTAATTGAATTGAGTAAAGTTATTGAATTGATTTATGTAATTTGAATGTATACTTACAATGATGGGCTGCATACTGGAGGTGATACTAAGCTGGATGTAGTAGTAGTAGTAGTAGTTGTTGAGGTGGTTGGAAGCGAATGCTAACTGATAACAGCTTTTCAGCGAAATTCCCTTTTATACTCTCGATCGGTGGTGAATTTTTATGAAAGTTTCGAACCGATAATATATTATGAATTCGCATACGTTCGCAAATATTTATATAAATGCTAATTCGAGTTCTAATTGGACGTGTTTTATATAATCATGCAACTAACGTGCGACCCGAATCGAGATTTTTTTTTCTTTATATTCTGTATAATTACAACGTTAACTTTATTTTTTTTCAGAACGCATTAGAGAACTACACCTTCCTTCCATTCAGCGTGTTCCTGGCGATCTTCTGGATCTTCACGTACAAGAAGGTGCCCGAAACGAAGAACAAGACCTTCGAGGAGATCTTGGCCCTCTTCAGGCACGGCAACGGAAGGTAAGTGGAAAGAGAGATTAAGCGAAAAAAAAAATAATATTAATATTAAATTCGCCCTAATAACAACAAAGAAAAACCTAAACTAAAACACGGAATAACAACGATAGCAATTGTTACGCAACCGTAACTAAGGGGCGGGATTTTCAAAAGAAAAAAAAAATGCGATCGAAACGTAACTAAACCAGACAAATGAAAAAAAAAAAAAGTGTTTTGTGTGTGTGTAAATGTATACACCATCATCCATTTAGGAGTATGATTTCCTTGGAAACGCCCTTGATTTTCTAATAATTTCATTTGTTTATCGTCAAGGGCATTTCCTTGACAGCAGCGATTTTTTTGGTTCTTCTCCATATACATAATTCGCATAATTCTCTTTTCCGTTCTCGTCTCTTGCGTTCCCTGATTTTTCTTTTCTTTTTTTTCTCTTATATTCTTTTCACCTTTCTTCACTTTTACTCTTTTTTTTTTGTCATCAATTTTAATCGAGATTCTTCGGCAGGAACAGTTTTCGGGATAGCAGATTGTACGGGTGAGTGTCTCCCTGCACGTGTGTGTTTCTCTCTCTGTCTCTCTCTCTCTCTCTGTGTGTCTCTTCTCCCCAGCGGATTTTCCACACGCAACGAGCATTTATTTATTCCTCTGTGATTATTTTTTTCTATATTCATTATTTTTTTATCGTTTCGTTCAACAATCATCATGTTATATAACATGAGAGCATGCGGTGTGTATTTGTTTTTTTTGTTTTTGTTTTCGCTGTCTGCTTGTCGTTTGTTTCTGTTGCGCTCTTTGATTGGCTACAATATCATTCGAAAACACACGAGATCTTCGATATTCTTTCTTCTTCACGTAACATGATTGAACAGTTGAAGAAGAAGAAAACGAATCATCATCCAAACACGATCCCAACAAATCTTACTTTTTTTTTTTCTTAATTTCATAATAACTTTGAGGCGAACAAATGAAATATATACATCGTGAAACAGAATAACAATTGAACGCAACTTCCGGTCAGTAGTGCATGCGGTTCTCTCTCTCTCTTTCTCTCTATTTTCTTTTAGTTATCTCATCTTTTAGTTTATTTTTATTCTCTCTGAGTAAGACGAGATCCTTTCCGTACGAGGCAACATCCCTTCGCTCCACTACCCTTCTTTAAAAATAAAAACAAAAGTTACATACTTTTTGTTTTCAATACCCTAGCAACCCCATTTGTTTCTTTTTTTATTCGATGTGCAATTTTTCTGAAAAACAATAACTTTTGTTTCAGTTTTTTGTACGGTTTTTCTTTATGAAATCACATTTACTAATACTAGTTAACTAATTATTGAGAAAAAAATGCACGCTTCTACGCTCATTATTATTAAGAGTTGAACTACTTTTTTTTTTGTTTTCGACGATTACATTTGCATTAAATTCCATTATTTCGAATCTCATTTATAAATCTTTAAACTTTTCTTTTTACATATAATAATTTTTGCAGATCGAATATGCAAATAATTACTAAGATTTCTACTAAAATTAAAGTATTTTTGCAATTGGCAATTATTCAATTACAATTTTTGATTTAGTTTGAGAAAAATTTAAAGAAAATTGAACTAATATCAAAGTATTTTACTAATTAGAACTACTTTTAAGGAAAACTTTAAAGTAGTTTCTTTATGAAATCACATTTACTAATACTAGTTAACTAATTATTGAAGAAAAAATGTTTATTTTAAAAGTACTTTCAAACACTAACTCGATATTCGTGTGAACACGCTTCTACGCTCATTATTATTAAGAGTTGAACTACTTTTTTTTTGTTTTCGACGATTACATTTGCATTAAATTCCATTATTTCGAATCTCATTTATAAATCTTTAAACTTTTCTTTTTACATATAATAATTTCCTTAGTTTCACATTTGAACTACTTTTAATCTCTTCTTTGCATATCGAATATGCAAATAATTACTAATATTTGTACTAAAATTAAAGTATTTTTGCAATTACAAATGAACTAATTTTGACAATTTTTATTTAGTTTGAGAAAAATTTAAAGAGAATTGAACTAATATCAAAGTTTTTTCCTAATTAGAAATTATTAAAACTACTTTTAAGGAAAACTTTGAAGGTTGTGAAAAAACATCATTTGCTAATTACTAATTTTTGATTAATATTGAATGATAAATTGCATTATCAAAATATTACAGAAATCCTTAACATTTCATCGTATCTTCCTGTATTGAATTCCTCTTTTTCTCATTCATTTACGAAATCCTTACTGTTACCATCCGATTGATGAAGCTGCATCTCCGCAAATACTTTGACATAAAGTTACCATGAAGATGCTGTAAATGTATTGATTTTCTTTGCTGGAATTGAACAAAGAATGCGTTGTTATCGAAGATAATCATGATTATTATCATCGTTGCTGAAGATATATATTTGAAGATGCTGATGAATGAATGAGAGTGTATGTTTGTTGCCTCGTACTGTGTTCGTTGATCTTGTGTTTGCTGACCGTTGCTTCAAGACAGTCTTCGGGCCAGCCTTTCGCGTTTCGCTATAAACATCTCTGCTTACAACGGCCGTGTGTGTCCGTGCCGTAGAGGACCTCGCGTCCAGAGTTCGGATCCTTCGCCCGATTCGACGGAGGTGGACCTGGCCGGATCCGCCGAAGACCTAACGGTGGGTCCACATTTATAACCACAACAACAACAACAACAACAACCAAAAAGTAATAATTAAACGAAAACAACTAACCAATCGACGATTTTAAATAAAAAGAAACACCGCCGATTTCATCCCATTATTCTCTAATCATTATTTTCTCTCTCTTGTTTTTTCTTTTTTTATTTATTCATTTGTTTGTTCTTCTACATCATCCATCTCAAACTCACTTTGATCCGACGCAACGAAAGCAAACAATCGGAAGCATCCAATCAAGTTGTCATGGTTACATTATCATTTTTAGGACATCTGCGCATCGAAACGGTCAGATCTCAATTTTAGGCTCCGAATGTTTGCTCGAACTTGATTGCTATTATTACGTATGTTGACACACACACTTTGCAACGAATAAAGATTACCACACCTTTAACCTATTATTACGTTTTGTAAGTTAGTATATATATGTGCGCGGAGTGGCGACACAAAACACTTTTGACACCCACAATTTGCATCGAGCAGGCTTAATATAATTTATTTTTCTCTTTATTTTGTTTTTGTTTTTTTTTTTGTAAATTTCTAGTGAATCCGTGCAATTCGATCAAATCGCTGCAGCCAACGACGATCAACAACCGCAACAGCACAATAATTCGGCGGATTCACCGAAGGCCCAATAATAACAACTTGCAAAATGCGAACATTCAAAGACATTTTCACGCAAATCGAGAAAATGCTTTTGATGCAACGCAATTATTTTGTTAAAGACTGCAACGTTTTATCTAATTCTCTTTCTTTTTTATTTGTTTGTTTGTTTATGATTTAAATTCTTTTGGAATTGTGATAAACGCACATTTTTGTTTTATATACGATGAAATGATCTTTTAATTGAGCAATTCAAATGAAATGACATATTCATGTCAATGTCAAAGTGACATTATAATTGTCAAATACTAACGAAGTTGTAAAATTATTCAAAGAAAAATATATTAAATAATTTCATCGAAAGTTTTAATGTTAATTAATAAAAAATAAGTGTAATTTTTTTTTATTTCGATTTTATAAATTGAAAAATTAACATTTTTGACATTCAATCAATGCGATTATATTATCTAACAAAGATTGTGCTGTTACCATAGATACTCAATTGTTTAATATCATTCCAATAAGACATAACCTGCAAAATACTTCAATATTTTCATTAATCAAAATAAAAAACGATTGCTCAATTAAACAAATAGATTAAATCAATATGTTTTTTGTTTGTTTCTTTGTTTATTTTCTGTTTCTATTAAAGAAAAAAACAACTAGTATTATATTTTTTATTTGATTCGTTTTATTTAATGCTGCCGACACGCTGTGCAAAAAACTTGAACACAGGACACTGTACAAAAAAAAAACAACAACAACAATTGTATAACAATTCTCTATCTCACGTCTACTTAATTAATTGTTTTCACCTGTTTTTTGCTTTTCTGTAAGCGCTGATTTGATTGATGTGAGATCACTTTACGCAATCTAATATTAACCTCCTACTTTCTACCTTAACTGTGTATTATATCTATATATTTTTTTTGTTTTGTTTTCCCTTTGATTTAGTCGTCGTTTGTTTCTATCTAGGTGTGTGCATTTGTTTTGTTTGTTTTCTTTTCTTCTCCAAATCTCTTCTGTTTTTTTGTTCTCTCTTCTTTTTTTTTTGTTGAAAGACAGGTTGTGTTTCAGGAGTATGCTTAACTGTGTTAACGCACTCGAGCAACATCTTCCGGTGACCGAACAGGCAGGTCTTGTCGTTGCCGAGGAAAAGATCCAGCAAGACTCATGTAAGAATCCCAACCTCTTCTATTACTAACAATTACTTATTTACAATCCGTTTGTTGTTCGTTTGTTTTTTTTGTCTCTCCGTTGTTTAGCTTCCAGTAGATTCGTACCTTTAGCTCCTCAATTGTTCTATTTTTTTTTCTTTTTTGTTTTGTTTGCAGAGATTGTTTTATTATTATTTTTTTAATAAGAACAAAAGCATGCCGAATTTTCAATCATCAATCGTTTTGTGTTTTGTTTGTCTCTCTGTATCTTAGCAACGAAAAATCTATGTACGTTTAGTGTGTGTTCGTTTGAATGTTATTATTAATCTAAATATTTGTTAGTTTTGTCTATTCTTTGATATTTTTTGTTTGTGTATTCAGTTCAGAATCCGTTTGACCATAATACCGAGGAACTGCAATTGTTCGACTCGTCGTACTCGGCGTATAATTTGTTTCCCTCCAGAACACACTCGGCGTACGCCTTCTATTCAGGTACCTGAAACAATGTAAGAGCAAAAGCTGAAAAGTTGAACGAGCTGAAAACAAAAAAAAAACAAAAAAAACTATACCACAAAAACAAAATTAACTACAGCTGACCAGAATCAGACAAAATTGGGTGAAGCCGTTTTTTACTTTAGAGCTAAAAATTTGCAGATTGTTGAGAAAAAAGAAACACTTTCATAGAAAGGAAGCACCAGGATCGACACATATATAAATAATACACACCTATCACAAGATTTTCTTTTTAACTATATTGACGACACTTCTCACATAAGAGAACACAACCTTTCAACCCCTTAAGTTCACACCACCAAACGTACACGTTGACACACAATTCTCACACGTTTTGAGCACTCCGTTAGTTATCGATGCTTTCTTAATTAATTGAAAACAATTAAAATCAAGTTTATTTACATTCAAATAAGTTTTACAACGAAAAAATGTAATATAACAATAATAAGAATATATATATAACCTGGCGCATCCACCATATTTTTATTATTATAAAAATTAAAATAATACAGATTCAATATAATTAAACGTATAAATGATTGTTTTTCTTACATTCTTTCTAGAATTACAAAATTTTAGTTGTATATAATCGGTGGATGCGGTGAATTTAAAATTTCAGATTTTTATATTAATTTTTAATATTCATAATTAATTGTAAAAATATAGAAATTACGATAGTTCTTAAAAAATTGATTATTTTTAAATTAAAAAAAAATCAGCATAGAAAATTTCAATTACTATTATTAGATAATCAACAATGATTTGCAACCATAGCAACCATAGGTCATCATTGTAAGTCAACCTTAGTGACATTAATGGTGTTCATAACATCAATTAAGCGTCCTTAGCAACTGTCATTGGATGTATGTTAATTATTAGTAACATTAATATCATTCATAACAACCGATTCGCTTTTTTACATTCAACAATTGTTTTTCTTACATTCTTTCTAGAATTACAAAATTTTAGGTGTAAATAACCGGTGGATGCGGTAAATTTCAGAATTTTTTTCAATTCAAAGCAATAACAGACAATAAGGACAATTAATCGTTTGTATTAATTTTTAATATTCATAATTAATTGTTAAAATATAGAAATTTCGATATTTCGGAAAAAAATGATTTTTTTTTAAATTTTAAAAAATCAGCATAGAAAATTTTAATTACTATTATTAGATAATCAACAATGATTTGAAACCATAGCAACCATAAGTCATCATTGTAAGTCAACCTTAGTGACATTAATGGTGTTCATAACATCAATTAAGCGTCCTTAGCAACTGTCATTAGATGTATGTTAATTATAAAGCGTCCTTAGTAACATTAATATCATTCATAACAACCGATTCGCTTTTTTACATTCAATAATTGTTTTTCTTACATTCTTTCTAGAATTACAAAATTTTAGTTGTATATAATCGGTGGATGCGGTGAATTTAAAATTTCAGATTTTTATATTAATTTTTAATATTCATAATTAATTGTAAAAATATAGAAATTACGATACTTCGGAAAAATTTGATTATTTTTAAATTTAAAAACAATCAGCATTGAAAATTTTAATTACTATTATTAGATAATCAACAATGATTTGTAACCATAGCAACCATAAATCATCATTGTAAGTCAACCTTAGTGACATTAATGGTGTTCATAACATCAATTAAGCGTCCTTAGCAACATTAATATCATTAATAACAACGGCTTTGCTTTTTTACATTCAATAATTGTTTTTCTTACATTCTTTCTAGAATTACAAAATTTTACTTATATTTAACCGGTGGATGCGGTAAATTTCAGATGTTTTTTCAATTTTTCAATTCAAAGCAATAATAGACAATAAGGAAAATTAATCGTTTGTATTAATTTTTAATATTCATAATTAATTGTTAAAATATAGAAATTACGATATTTCGGAAAAAATTGATTTTTTTTTAATTTTAAAAAATCAGCATAGAAAATTTTAATTACTATTATTAGATAATCAACAATGATTTGAAACCATAGCAACCATAAGTCATCATTTTAAGTCAATTAAGCGTCCTTAGCAACAGTCATTAGATGTATATTAATTAAAAAGCGTCCTTAGCAACGTTAATATCATTCACAACAACCGCTTCGCTTTTTTTAATAACAGCCAGAAATTTCTGCCAGAAAAACGAAGCAAATCATAAGAATTTATATAAATTCAATTATTTTCAATTAATTATTAAGAAAGCAACGATCGATGGAAATATATGTAATAATTTACCTGTAATTTTATGAATAGCAGCGCACTTGGCTCAACAAACAGAACGAGTCATTATTTTAGAGCAGCCCCAACCCTTTTTTTCTTTAGTGTGAATATCTGTAAATACACGACAGAGAACATCCGAGACCGGAGTTTGTTTTTGTCTCCAAGGCTTCAGCAGTTACTGAAAATTTTCAACTTTTTTATTAAATGTCATTAAAGACAGAAGATTTATTATTGTTCTGGATTTCCTCAGATCGAAGACCGAACGAGGATTACCATATTTTTGAATTCAATTTTTGTACTTGTCTCTCTCTACGTAACAGATGCAAGATTCTAGATGGTAAAGAGAAACAAAAGATCAAGTTTCCATCATTTGACAAACGCGGGTCACTGCGATGATGAGAGGTTTATTTTTGTAGTTGTTATAGTAACAGTAAAAGCATGTCGTGTTGTTTTCTTGCATGTTGTTTTTATATAGTTGATACGATAGTTTTTGCTGTTGTTGTAGTTGCATACTTCCGATTAGACGAAGGTAAAGTATTTATTCGATGGGGTTGGTCGATACTTTCGTCGTTTGTTTGTTTTGGCGCTGCAATCTTTTCGTTTCCGGTTCTTTTCCCTTCGTTTGTCTCTATTTGTATCTGTTTTCCGTTTACGTCTCCTTCATCAAACGACAACCACGATGATCACGATGATGATGATGATGATTACGACGACGCCTACTGCGATAGCTGGATCGGAAAGGTCCTCGCAACGGGGCGATTCAGGAAGCAGACCTCCGCCACCGCTGCCGCCCCCGCGCTTCCCCAACAGCGCCGTTTGACAATGGGAAAGTCTCAACATCGCGACGTTCAGCATCCTGCCGCTTCCGGCCCCTCTGCTGGCCCTCGAGGACCATCTCGTCGAGTTGATCTCGCAACGCACCAAAGCTTGCGCAACATTCTTAAGACATAGCTTTAAGCGTCCACACCGAAACTAGAAACAACATCTACAAACAACAAACAACAACAACAGATTCTAGCGCAGAATTAAAGCAAACAGAGACACAGAGCCGCATCCACTAAAAGAAAATCTCAACTAAAAATTAAAAGTGATTCTCGTAAGCGTGAGTTTAGGGGACGTTGATCATCGAAAAGGAAAAAAAAAACAAACAATAATTTAACAATAATCAGTGTGATTTCTCTTCCAAAACTTAATCGTAACACTAATACTAATAATATTAATAACAATGATTACTAATAGTAAATTAATCAATTTAAAAGGTTTATTACTCTCGTAACATATATTAAAAAAAAAACGGCCTTAAACGTAACGTAGTTTCGAAAAAAACAATTTTCTTTCTCAATTTGATTAAATCGTTGGATAATAAACCGTTCTTGTGCGCTGGCCCGAAGATTTTCACCGAACGCGATCATTTCCTCGTTAAGTTTCCTTTCTCTTAGTCATACATCAACAATAACAACAGCAACTGAAGAAGAAAAACAAAACAATTATTCGCAGAAGCGTCTTGTTCTTGTTTTTTGTTTAGTTTAGTTTGCATTCTTTCTGTGCAATGATGAAAGAAACAATCGTTTCGTTCACTGTTTGATTGCGATCGAGTGTGTATGTGATCTTTGCTTGATAAATTCCTAAACGAGAAAACGAAAATTCAATGATTCTTTTCATAAACGCATGACCATTTACATTTTTCCTTATATTTTATACCTCTTTTTTTTTCCGTTATTCTTTCATTTTATTTATCTCTTTCTCTCTATATAAATAGTTTAATTATCCATCTATCCATGAACGATTTCATTATTATTCCAATTACAAAACAATTGTTTGATTGGTCGACGATTGCCATTGTTTATTTATTTATTTATTTATTCTTCATTACTAATAATCATTACTCAAGTGGAATTTTCTAAAGAAACAACAATTATTTAACAATTCCATTCAATTATTACATCACAATTATTTGATTTCTACAGCACAATTCGAATCAATTTTGACAACCTTTCATAACATTAACGTTTACATTTCTTTGTTTTTTGACTGATCACTATATGTTACATGATCAATTTTAATAGTTTTGTTTGTTTTTTCTTGATGAAATTAATTTTGAACTAAATTGTCATTTTTTTCACTTGCAAAAATTATAAAATTCAATCAATTTGTTTCAATATGAATTCTAATGAAGTGAACAAAAAAAGTAATTAGCAAAATTGACAATTTAAATGTCAAATTGTCGATGAAACAATCGCATAAATCGGCCAACTTATATTTATTTTTTCACTTACTCAATCGACGATGCTGCGTAATGAGAAATTACAAACAAAAAAAACTGAACAAAAAAAAGATAGTAATAATATTTATATATATAAACAATATTTATAGAAAAATGTATTTAACACAACAACAAAAAAAAAGGAGAAGGAAGAAAATCCAGTAGCGAAATTTGTTTTTGTTTGTGGCACGCATATAATAAGTGCACTGAATTGGATTAGGTCTAAATCTAAATAAGCGATGGGATAAGATACAGAATACAAATATTTATATATATATATATAAAAAAAACACAAATACAATTGAGATTTTCGAGATGTGCTTGCGCGTTCGACGGACGAAAAATCCTCAAGGCGCAAGCACAGATTTTCCAATCTCGTTCGTTCATTCTAAATTAGCGTTAAGAAAAAAAAAAACTATATATATAAATATATATATAAGTAAATGAATAAATAGGTTTTAAGGATATTATTGATAGAATTTCATTGTTTCTACTTTCATTTATTTATTTATTTATGTTGATTGGATTGATTGATTGATTGAATGTGGAGGATACGAATAACTAAGTAAATACAAAAATTCACTGCCATTCGCTGTAGTAGAAGAAATGGAACTCGAGGGACGCGAAACATTTTGAAGTGAACTTAAACGAAGAGAACGAAAGAAGAAAAAAAAACTAATAAAGTTGTGTGCGCGCGTGGATTTCAATCTCTCGCAAAAAAAAAAATCTCTTCAGCGATGTACGTTTCGATGCTGCTCAAGTGAACTAAATTAATCAATAATTAAACGGTTAACTTAAACACTAATTAACTAATTTAATTAAGATAGTGCAAGGAATATCTCTGTTTTGAAGGGCTTTTCGGCAACAACAAACAACAACAAAAAACACGTTTTTTTTACTCTTTCCCCAAAAAAAAAAAATTGTTTTCAATCCTGATATGTTTCTGTTGTTATTACCGATCACCAGGACGAGTCCGAACGGATGCGACGTGCGAGGAAAGTGGAAGTTCCCAACGCGAAACAACATAGTGGACACCGGATGACTCGCAGTGTTATTGCGTTTTGATTCACCAGTTGAAAGCATGCAAACATGTAGAGAGAGAACAATTTTTTCATTTAGTTTCTGTTGAAATCGCAAAGTTACAATTAGTACTCTGAAAGCACTGCCATTTGTGAATTCTCGATTATATCCGAATGAGGACGAACAAAGAATATTGATTAATATCGATACTAATAATTATATTGATGATGAACCGAGAAAAGCGCTTGTAAAACGTTGGAATTTAAGAAAAAAAAGAAACATGTAACTGTTGTTCCCCCATAATCATTTCGTTTTTTTTTTTTTGTTCAATTATATAATAACGTAATTGTAACCCGACACACGTTTTTTGTAATAACATTTATATGAAATTTTGTACATAGCACACAAACACAAACACAGAGAAAATTAAATCTATAACTTTTGGAAAAGTTTGCTTCGTCTACGAATCAGGTTAATTGTAAACGCAATAAAGGAAGGAAATATATAGTATATAAAGCACGCGACACACATCATCAAATTCATTCACATAAAAGACACGCAAAAATGTAACTGTTTCTCGAATTGATTGAATCACTTAAGAGATATAATAAAAATAAAAAAGCGAAGATGTTTAGAGAGACTTAAAATTAGCGGGTCGAGGAGGAATTGTAACAAAGTTTTTTTTTTCATTCAAAGCCGAAATATATCGAATAATGTTTAAAATAAAAATTTGAAAAAAAAAAATTAAATAAAGTTCATTAGCGTAGATAGCGCCACAGTGTAATTTCGAAATGTTCCTGTTAGTATTCATAAAAAAAAATACCACAAAAATAAGGTGACCTTAGGATTTTTTGTTTTTAAAACAATTGATTGATCTGCATAATTTTTGTACACACAAATTGCGTGTTTTTGTATCGAAATTACCAAAGAAAACTGTTTTACACAGCATCAACTTTTGAGTTGCAGCGAAATTCAGTGAAAATTGTTGACGTTTATAAATAGATTTGTTATTTTCTCTGGTAACTTCGATCGTAATTTATGTAATTTTTTTGATCTTGAAAGGTCCACGATTTTAGTCAATTAGAAGAATGAAAAGAAAAAAACACACAGATTTTTTGGCGCTACACAGATTTTCTAATTTTTGTGTTTCGCGAATTTGTTGTTGCGGGTTCCGAGTACGAGCGTTTCGTTGGCCTAAGGAGAATTAATAATTATAAATAAATATTAATAATGATAATATGAAAATGATAACGAAATGTCGATATATAAACGTTAAATATAATTTATTAAGAAAAAAAAAAAAGAATGATTAGGAAACCTACTTGATAATTGTTGTAAAACACTTGATACACACACACACACAGAAAAAACACTAGCGCAGACTTTAACCGAAGTTCGAAGACGTTAAATAACTCGACTTAATCTTTAATTAACGGAGCAAAAACAAATGATTCTAAATGTAAATATTGTTACATAATAATGATAATATTAAGTAATTAAACTGTAATGATTACTAACTGTAAGTGATTTGACTTTGATTGCGGTGTGTTTTTTGGTTTTTAATTAAGTATGTTTTGTGTTGTTCTTTTTCTACGTACTGGTGTTGTGTATTCATTTATTTTACTATCGATTTATAATTTCAACGAGAAAATGTGTTTGCATGTTTGATAGAAGTAGCTGATGATAAAATTACCCAAAAAATGATTATTTTGATGTTTTCTTTTGGTTTCAAGTTATAAATTGTAGATATTTTTGATGCAAGAGCGAAGAAGAAGAAAAAATGATGATGATCACGAAATTACTCAAAATTTTACCCGAGAGTACGGAGCGACGTTCCTCTCAATTAACAAACGTTTTTTGGTATTTATTGTATATTGTATAAGATCGAAATCGTTTTACGTTAGTTTTTTCGAAATAAAATGATGCATACTTTGCGAAGATTGATAAGAATAAAAAGATAACTATTATTATTATTATTATATAAAAGGAAAATGAAGAAAAATTGAAGAGATGATGATGGAAGAAACAAGAAAAAAAGGATTATCTCTGTCTGTCGGACTAATATTGCCGTTGGGATGAAAGGAAAGAAAGTTTGTGAGTTTTAGTATTTAGTATACATATATTATTATTATTATTATGGAAGGTTCGTGTATATATATATTGAAATATATATATGTATACATATTATGATTATATATATATATGGAACATGTAATAAAGTTTCAAGAAAAATGCAATAAAAAATACATCTCTATACATACGAAAAAGGTGAAGGTTTTACGAGCGTAAACAAATACAGACTAATACTAAAAAAAAAAAGATCGAGAAGAATTATTTGTATGGATTTAAGTTACTCATTTGCATTCCTCGTGGTACGGCTCCAAAGTCCTCAAATCCCTCCACGTCGGCGGCAAATTGCTGTACAGGTAGTTGCCGCACCTTTTGCACGGATTGCTGAACAGAGTGTTGTAGCTGTGGAACCAATGCTGAAAACACCCAAAGTTAAGTATACTCATCATGTAGCTATAGATTCAGTTTGTTTACCATGAAGGATTTGACTGCTAGTTCGGGCATCGTCGGCGAATGGAAATGGCACATCGCCGCGTGACAATTCTCGGTGACCTTTTTGAAGACTTTATACCTGGACTCCGTCCACAGATCGTTCGACTCTGAGTGAGCTTTGACGACGACCCACTCGATCATCAGACCTTTGAACGCAATCACCGCCTTCAGAACGCGACTCAAAGAAGCCTGTATCACGGGATTCGGTACGAAAGGTCGCGAAGCCGTTATAGTCACGTCCGGAAACAACCGATCGATTCCTGTTATAAGATTCTCAATCACCCTGAAACATATTTCATTAAAGATAATCTTTTTGTAATCGTCAGAATTTTCACTCACTCTGGAGGAACATTGTGTGTACTCGTCTGCGTTTTCCTACGCTTCGTCGTGCTGAAAGTCTTGTACGTCTTGTTAACTGAATTCGAGGCTAAAATGTTACCAGCCAAAGCACTGTAGTCTCTGATCTGAAACACACATTACATCGATTTAGTTATACAAATAAATAAAATAGTTTTCAACTTATCACTTTGTGTTATTACCTTGTCTGTCCATTTGTAGCTGTTCACCAACTGCACGTAAAGTGATTGTCTTTCCTGCGTAACCTCCTGACTCAAATAAATGGTATTCCCCAAAGCGAACGGGCCTGGAGGGATGGACAAATTGGAGACAGCCCCTTCGACATCCCTAAAACAATAAATTAACAATATTCTCTCTAATTAAGAATAACTTACCTCAAATTGTTATTGACAGTGGAAAGCAACTCTTGCAGCTCGAGTATAAACTTGTTCTCTTTACCATCTTCGCCATGATCAGCCCTGAGACCATTGCTCACCGACTCGAAGGCTATACCCACATTGGATCTGAGCACTTTCAAAGAGTGCAGCGCAGTCTGCAGCTGCTCCAGATCAGTCATACTTTGAAGCAATTTATTAACAAAAACTTCAGAAAACGAAGGCTTAAACAAACCAAATACACAAATAAACTGGAAGAAACTAACCTGAAGTTAACTGCAAAGAAACGTCAGATTGCTGTTGGTGAGCCTGTGGATTCTGCTACCAACTGCACAAGATAAACCGCATGGATTTGTTGTTGTTGCTGGAAAACGAAAAGAGGTTAGATCAGTCTTGATGAGTTTTCGAAGTTGATCGCTTGAGAGGATGGATTCAGATCACGAGGAAGAAAGTGGGCCTTCGGGGCCGGTGGAGAATGCGTGGCAGATGAAAATACCCGAGTTTAAGAAGGAAGATAACCCTCATGGTTTGTTGGAGGAAAGCTCTTTTGCTACGCTCTTTCCACAGTACAGGGAGCAGTATTTGAAGGAGGTATGGCCCTTGGTGCAGCAGAATCTAACGGAGCACCACATCAAAGCGGAGCTGGATCTGGTGGAGGGAACTATGACTGTGAAGACGACACGTAAGACTTGGGATCCGTACATTATATTGAAAGCTAGGGATATGATCAAGTTGCTGAGCAGGAGTGTTCCTTACGAGCAGGCGCAGAGGGTCCTGCAAGACGACATCGGGTGTGATATTATTAAAATTGGTAATTTGACGAGGAACAAAGGGAAGTTTATCAAGAGGCGACAGAGGTTGATTGGGCCCAACGGCTGCACACTGAAATCGATTGAACTCTTGACCAATTGCTACGTGCTCGTGCAGGGGCAGACTGTGGCCGCTCTGGGTCCTTACAAAGGTTTACAGCAGGTGCGAAAAATCGCTGAAGATACAATCAAGAACATCCATCCGATTTACAATATAAAAGCGCTGATGATTAAGCGAGAGTTGCTGAAAGATCCCAAATTGAAGAACGAGAATTGGGAGCGGTTCCTGCCTAAATTCGCTAGCAAAAACGTGCAGACGCGTAAACCTAAGAACAAGAAGGATAAGAAACCGTACACGGCTTTCCCTCCGGCGCAACAGGAGAGCAAGGTATTTATTATTGAGGATTTTAATTCAATTTGTTTATTAATTAATTATTATTGCAGGTCGACAAGATGTTGGCTACGGGTGAATACTTCTTGACTGAAGAACAGAAGCAGGTGAAGAAGCAGAAGGAGATCGAGGAGAAGAGCAAGATTAACGCGAAGAAGAGGGAGGAGAAGAGAGGTTTGGCTTTCATTCCACCTGAAGAGCAACCTTCGACGAGCAAACCGAAACAAACGAACACCCCGGTGGACTTGGCTGCGTTGAAAGAGAAAGTCAAGAAGGCTCAGAAGGGAAAGAAGAAGTTTAATTTTTAGTTCTAATTTTTTATATAAGTTATATTGATTAATAAATTTTGTTGATTTAAGTAAGAGCGTTTGTTGTTGTATGTTTATATGCATTATTTTTGTGTGCGTTGCGCAACGAAAAGTGCAAATCGCACTTTCACCTTCTTTCGTTCTTTCTTCGGCGAAAGAGAGAAAGGTGACGTAATCGTCGGCTGCGGCGCGCGCGATTACGCAATTCGAAAGACTCTCAGGAGGAAGTCAGTCAGTCACGGGTGAAGTGGGTCGGTCGCTCATGTAACCGGTCCCGTTTTACAACGACGACTCCCAGAGCGCAAAAGGAAATGCAAGTTTACTTCGCAAAGGTCACCTTGACCAGAATCAACAAACAACCAAAGCCTGCCGTGCCGTTTCCTTGACAATAACAAAACAATTGATAGATTGTAACGACGCCCTTAGATATTATTAACCTGAGCACTTCCTGTAACGTTAATTCAAAATTTTAGTATTTACATTTTGCGTAGATCGATAACATCCCGGAAAATGTTGGTTTCTAATTTCTTAAATAACATTGTTGAATAACTGTAACGTTTCCCGTCTGTATCAACTGATTTATGACATTTAATTAATTTAACCTTTCGTAATTTAGAGAAATATAAATCGAGCAGATTTGCGAATGCAATAAAACAAATTGAACTTTTACAACTTTAATTCAAAACTCGTTCATTTCCTCAATCAACGCTGTCTGTAAGAAATGCGAGTAATTGAGATAATGTTAAAATTAGTATGAATTTATTGAATGCACTTTCAAATTGATGCTAGTCTCTGTTTCCTTATAATACGTTAATAATTTTATAATCACACACATAGATTTTAATTTATGAAGAATACTAATAAATTTTCACAAAATTGCAGTATTTTAAGTCACATATGTTAAACTTTAATCTATAAAGATTCAAACCAATATATAAACTTATTTGTAGATTTAGTAGTTATTTATAAATTTACTTCCAAACTTTGCTTAATAATCATTGAATTTTGAAAAAAATAACCTTAAATGAATTCAATAATTCTTCCAAAAATACTTTTCTAAATCAAAAAATTCAATTCAATTATTAAACTTGAATCTATGTAGAACCAAACGAATCTATAAACTTATTCCTAGCTATTGTAGTTCTTTAGAAATTTACTTCCAAACTTGACTCAATAATTGAAAAATAACCTTAAATAAATATAAAAATTCTTCCAGAAATACGTTTCTAAATCAAATAATTCAATTAAATTATTAAACTAGAATCTATAAAGAACCAAACGAATCTATAAACTTATTCCTAGCTACTGTAGTTCTTTAGAAATTTACTTCTGAACTTGACTTAATAATCATTAATTTTTGAAAAAAATAACCTTAAATAAATATAAAAATTCTTACAAAAATACATTTCTAAATCAAATATTTCAATTAAATTATTAAACTTGAATATATAAAGAATCAAACGAATCTATAAAGATAATCCTAGCTACTGTAGTTCTTAAGAAATTGATATCCAAACTTGACTTAATCATTGATTTTTGAAAAAAATAACCTTAAATAAATATAATAATTCTTCCAGAAATACGCTTCTAATTCAATTAAATTATTAAACTTGAATCTATAAAGAATCAAACGAATCTATAAACTTATTCCTAGCTACTGTACTTCTTCAGAAATTTACTTCTAAACTTGACTTAATAATATGTGAATTTTGAAAAAAATAAGCTTAAATAAATATTAAAATTGTTACAGAAATACGTTTCTGAATCAAAGAATTCAATTAAATTATTAAACTTAAATCTATAAAGAACCAAACGAATCTATAAACTTATTCATAGCTACTGTAGTTCTTTAGAAATTTTCTTCCAAACTTGACTTAATAATCATAGACTTTGAAAAAAATAACCTTAAATAAATATAAAAATTATTCCAGAAATACGTTTCTGAATCAAAGAATTCAATTAAATTATTAAACTTGAATCTATATAGAACCAAACAAATCTATAAACTTATTCCTAGCTACTGTAGTACTTCAGAAATTTACTTTTGAAATTTGGCTTAAGATAATATAAAAATTCTGTAAAAAAATCTAATAAAATTGATATGAAAATTCAAACTTTCTGTTCGTTTTTGTACATAATAATTCATACATTTTAAAGCGTCGTAACTTAGCGAGTGCACTAAATACGTTATATAATGAAAATTGCAGATGTGCAATATGCATTTCCTTAATTACAATCGTCATGTTTTGTTAACCGATTTTCCATCTCGCTTATTACATTTCTTCGTGTTTCGTCATCACTCATTTCCTGCACGATTTTTCCTTTCTTATTATTATATACATACACATTATTGTTTATTTTTTATTAAATAAGAAAAGTAAAAGTAAAATTCTCGCATCGAACATATCCAATTTCTCGAGCGCATTGTCTGTATACATTTCAGGAATGCAGTGAACATTATACATTTAGTTTTCTCCTGTGTTGCATTTGTAAAACAGATGGAAATTTACATGAAACTAATGAAGTAATTGATGGATTTAAACAGAAACTGAATGAGATGAAATGCATAGTAATAATCAAAATAAAACGGTTTTAACATCCGTTACGAGCTTATAATTAAGTCTGTATCTATTTCATTTCCTTATGCAAATTTACCATCATTAAATTACGAAATCTGCTTTTATTGAATAATTTCGTTAGAAAATGACTTTAAATTGAAGATTGTATTTGTTAATGTTAAGTTGAGTTTTGTAAGAAGATTATTAATGTGTTTAAAGTTGCTGTTGAAACAGTAAATGATGATTTTACTTTTCGAATTGATGCCGGAAACGATGATGATGTTAATGATGGAATGAATTGTCAGGATGGGATTGATTAAATCTGCATTAGACGAGGATTTTGTCGAAGAATTTTTCCTTGAAGCAAACGAAGAAAGCGGTGGTAGAAACAATGATCACCCTCTCCAAGAGGTTTTCAGACAGGTGTGTGTGTGTGCGAGCGAATTGGAGGGACTTAATAATATCTGCACTTTTACCTTATAGTCGGGAATCTTCCGTGTCCAATGATCAGTGAGTTATCGAACCAAATTCGGACTGCATCGACCGTTTCTTGCACCTTGTTATACATTTCAAGAGGTATTGTCAATTCAGAAGTAACATAAAAAGGTACGTTTATCTCACAATATAAACTATACATACTAAATCGCTGCTTAAGTAAAGAAAAACTTAATGTTTATCAATGAAAAGTTTACATTTTATGAATAAAAACGATCAATAAAATTGACAAAATTTGGAACTTTTCTTAGAAAACCTTGCAAATATTTTCTTGATTATTCATTTTAATTATTATATCAAATGTATCACACTTTACATGTACTAAATCTAAATATTACATTAATTTTTTTAAAAGTAAATGCGAACAGAAACAATATTCAACAAAATCAAACTAGTAAATTTTCTAGCTTTTATAAAAGTTAATCAAACAACATTTTTCTGTTTATAAAAATTTATTAATTCTATTGAGAATCAATTTATTTATTTATTATTATTCAAGTTTTGCAAATTTTTCTAATAATTTACTTTAAAATTTTAAAAAAATTATTAAATCATTTTTTATAATATTTTTATCAAAAGACGATCAAATCTTATAGAAATATAATAGATTTTATTGAAAATTGTTTCTTTAGTTATAGTATTGATTTTAATGAAAAATTATTAAGAAAATTTCTAGTAATTTGTTTGCAAAATTCACTTAGTGGATTAAGAAATTGAACGAAATGTAACATATTCAGTTTCAAATGAATATCTCTCGAATTAATTGAATCTTATTGAAATATTTATAATCAATTGAAAGTAAAGAAAATAGGGAATAAAATGAGCCTATTTGCAACTTTCTGTGATTTCTAAAATTTTAGTAATTCGCTTTCAAAAGTCACGAATTTAATAAAAAGCGACATCTTCAGTTTTAAATTGATATTTCACGAGATAATAAAAACTTGTTAGAATTTTTATAAGCAAATTAAAGTTTAAAAATTAGGACATTAATTGTGACAATTTGTATGTTTCTGTGATTTATACAAGATTAGTAATTTGTTTGCAAAATTGACTTAAATAATTGAGAAATTTAACGAAACGTAACACCTTCAGTTTCAAATGAATATCTCTCGAATCAATTGAATCTTATTGAAATATTTATAATCAAAATAAAGTAGAGAAAATAGGGAATAAAATGAGCCTATTTGCAACTTTCTGTGATTTCTACAATGTTAGTAATTCGCTTTCAAAAGTCATGAATTGAATAAAAAGCGACATCTTCAGTTTTAAATTGATATCTCACGAAACAATACAATCTTATTAGAATGTTTATAAGCAAATTAAAGTTTTAAAATTAGGACATTAATTGTGACAATTTGTATGTTTCTGTGATTTATACAAGATTAGTAATTTGTTTGCAAAATTCACTTAAATAATTCAGAGATTTAACGAAACGTAACACCTTCGGTTTCATATGAATATCTCTCAAAGCAATTGAATCTTATTGAAATATTTTTAATAAATTTAAAATTGAGAAAATGGGGAATAAATTGAGCCTATTTGCAACTTTCTGTGATTCCTACAATTTTAGTAATTTCTTTTCAAAGTCATGAATTGAATAAAAAGCGACATCTTCAGTTTTATATTGATATCTCATGAGACAATAAAATCTTGTTAGAATGTTTATAAGCAAATTAAAGTTTAAAAATTAGGACATTAATTGTGACAATTTGTATGTTTCTGTGATTTATACAAGTTTAGTTATTTGTTTGCAAAGTTCACTTAAATAATTCAGAAATTTAACGAAACGTGACACCTTCAGTTTCAAATGAATATCTCTTGAATCCATTGAATCTTATTGAAATATTTATAATCAATTTAAAGTTGAGAAAATGGGGAGTAGAATGAGCCTATTTGTAACTTTCTGTGATTGCTACAATTTTAGTAATTCGCTTTCAAAAGTCATGAATTGAATAAAAAACGACATCTTCTTAAAACTGAATAATCTCACGAAATAACAAAAACTTATTAGAATGTTTATAAGCAAATTAAAGTTTAAAACTTCGGACATTAAAGGTGACAATTTGCATGTGTCTGTGATTGCTACAATTTTCGTAATTTCAGTTAACGAATTCGTAAATTTTAAAGAAAAATATTAATGAAATTTTAGAAATTTAACTAATTAATATAGTAATTTTTGTTATTAATTTCAATTTCCTGGTTTGTAATTATCGTCAAGAAAGTGACTTCAATAATTTGCAATTAAAAAAAAAAGTTCTTCTCGTGAAGTCTCTCTTATTTAATGATAAATGTAAACCAGTGTTATTTTCATTGACTTCTGCTCTGACTAATAAGGAAAACCTCACTGACCTACAAAAAGAAACGAGCGAATGTGTGATGTAACAGGTCCCATTGTGCGTGCGTGCGCGCGGATTACGTGAATTCACCAAAGCCGCACACTTTCTCTTCTCTCCGAAAGGAAAATAAAGATATACGAAAACCCATCTTCCGGGGTTTATGCATGCATATACACAGACACATTAATCTTTACTTGCTCTTCAGAATGTCTTCAGTTAAATGGGTCACAGAGGCGGACGAGTACGAATGCAAACTCTCCGAAGAGACGCAGAAGATCGCCAAAGAGGAGCTGAGGGAGGACAACAACGCGAGAGTTCAAGCTTTAGCCTCGATGCGAGAATGGATCATTCAGAATCCGAAGATCATCAATTGCCGATTGGGTTCACACGCAATCAATCCAAACCGATCAATCATTTTAATAACTCTTGCTGTTCTTTTGCAGACGCTCGTTTTCTGTTGCGTTTCTTGCGCAGCAAGAAATTCAGCGTGCTTCAAGCCCAGGAAGCGCTTCAAAGATACCTCTTGTTGAGACAATCTTTCGGTATCGCTTTCAACAATTTGGATATAACTATTCCAATGATGGAAGATTTGACCGATCTGGGTTATCTCTTCGCAAGTCCCAAGAGGGATTCTAAAGGAAGGAGAGTCATCATTGCCAGACCGGGTTTGCTTTCATTCTGACCATGTTTTTACGTGTTGATTGGTTTGATGTTTCAGGAGTTTTCGATTTGGATAAATTCACGAACGCGGATATGTGTCGTATCCATGGGGTCGTTTATGAGACTCTGATGGAAGACGAAGAGAATCAGGTGCGCGGTTACGTGCACTTTGCTGATGGACAAGGCGTGGGTTTCGCCTATCTTACGTTGTTCACGATCAAAGAGGCTGTTCGCATTGTCAAGAACGGAGAGGTGAGATGGTTTATTTAAGTTTTCAGCGATTTTCAGGAGAAGCAAATAGTAAAGTTACTTTGACAATTAAAGCTAGTAATATAAAGAAGAAAATGAGACTATTTTCAAAGAAACGCGTTTCTTAGATTCGTAGTAATTAAATTGTTAAATTTAATTCATGCAAAATGCAACACTTTTACATTTTTGTGAATATCTTGCGAACTAAGCAAATCTTAATGAAATATTTATAAGCAAATTAAAGTTGAATAAATAGGGAATATAATGAGCCTATTTGCATCCTTCTGTGATTTACACAATGTTCGTAATTTACTCTCAAAATTCACTCAAATTGTATAAAAAGTGACATCTCTCGTTTTAAATGTATATCTCTCGAACCAAATGAATCTGATTGAAATATTTCTAAGTAAATTAAAGTTAAAACAATGAGGAATGGAATAAGCCTATTTGCACGTTTCTGTGATTTATATAAATTTAGTAATTTGCTTGCAGAATTAACTTAGTGAATTCAGAAATTTGACGAAATTCAATAAGTTTAGTTTTAAATTAATATCTCTCGAACTGAGCAAATCTTAATGAAATATGTATAAGCAAATTAAAGTTGAATAAATAGGGAATAAAATGAGCCTATTTGCATCCCTCTGTGGTTTATACAATTTTCGTAATTTGCTTTTAAAATTCACTCAAATTAATTCATAAATTGTAGAAAAAGTGACATCTCTCGTTTTAAATTTATATCTCTCGAAAGAATTAAATCTGATTGAAATACTTCTAAGTAAATTAAAGTTAAAACAATGAGGAATAGAATAAGCCTATTTTCACGTTTCTGTGATTTATATAAATTTAGTAATTCGCCTGCAAAATTAACTTAGTGAATTCAGAAACTTGACGAAATGCAATAACTTCAGTTTTAAATTAATATGTCTCGAACTGAACAAATCTTAATGAAATATTTATAAGCAAATTAAAGTTGAATAAATAGGGAATAAAATGAGCTTATTTGCATTCTTCTGTGGTTTATACAATTTTCGTAATTCGCTTTCAAAATTCATTCAAAAATTGTGTAAAAAGTGACATCTCTCGTTTTAAATGTATATCTCTCGAACGAATTGAATCTGATTGAAATATTTCTAAGTAAATTAAAGCTAGAATAATGAGAAATGGAATAAGCTTATTTGCACGTTTCTGTGATTTATATAATTTAGTAATTCGCATGCAAAATTAACTTAGTGAATTCAAAAATTTGACGAAATGCAAAAACTTCAGTTTTAAATTAATATCTCTCGAACTGAGCAAATCTTAATGAAATATTTATAAGCAACTTAAAGTTGAATAAATGAGGAATAAAATGAGCTTATCTACAACTTTCTGTGATTGCTTCAACTTTAGTAATTTGCAAAATTCACTTGTTGAATGCAGAAGTTGTATTAAAAAAATTATATTTTTATTTTAGAATCAAATTGTCAATTTTCATAGTTCTGTGTATACTAAATTTTTGAGTAATTTTCAGAAAACTTTGCCAATGAGACACAAAGAAGTGCACGCAGTGAACGCACATCCATCAATGAAATTCGCTCTGGATTTCGGAATGTCCCTCATTTCCGAGAAGATCAAACAAAGAATAAGCTTTTACACGAGCATCGAAGATTGCTTGGAGCAAAACAAGGTTGAAAGAGAGACGCTTCCAAAGGAATACGGAGGAACGATGCCGATGGCCGAAATGATTCGTACATGAATGCAAATTGAACGAAACCTCTCAGCTAATCATTGATATTTCTCGTTACAGATCTTTGGAAGCAGGAGCTGAAGGATTCCCACAAAACGTTGATCTCTCACGACAGCATGGAAGTAAACGAAAACTTGTTCAGTCCGCAAGCGAGAGAAGGCGCAGTCTCAGCGCTTAAGAGAAACATGGTGAATTGCGGTAACGAGAGAGATTCGATCTTCGGAATCACAGGAAACTTCCGCAAATTGGAAGTGGATTAAGTTTAAATTTCGTTGACTCATTTATCATTACTAAACCAGTATTTTCTTTAACACTTTAGTTGGGTTTTTTTTATATAACTATTCTCTTTCTTGTAATAAATAAACTCTCAGATTTATCGAAAAATGTAAAATTTATTTTATCAAATCACAATCACAATCACTTAAAATATCAAATTTAATCTGGGGTTCTGCAAAATGTTCAGTTTGGCGCGGAAACCTTTGAAACCGTACTCATCGAAACTGTGCTCCTCGATCACCGGCTTCACCGAATCATAGTCCGGTTTGTCCTTCGCGTACTCCAACACTTCCTCCTTCGAGATCTTGTCGAAGAGCACCGAGTGAATCCTGTAATTGGTGTTGTCGAAGTGTTTCGGGATCGGGCTCGAATCTCGTACAGAGTATTCGCCGTCATCAGACAAGTCTTGTGTATTAAAAATAGCTATCACGTAGATCGTCGGTCCCCTGGCCAGAGAATCCAAGAACGCGGTGACCGCTTGCAGATCTTCGATGGAAAGGTTATCGACGATTACCAGATATGGCATGTTCCTGTGGAAGGACATCGCGTCCAAGATGAAATTGTTCTTGTCCACGTCGAAGACTTGATTCTCTTTGAAATTCTTCTTGATGAGATTACCGCAGAGCGATTTACCAACACCTGTCGGTCCGATTAAAGCTAAGAAATTGTCCGGAGTCGACAGCATGTTCATGTCAACTTTATCCATGAAAGTGACGATTTGCTGCACCTGTTGCTTCTGATACTTGACGTTCCTCAACAGATCGTTCTTGATCGCGTCCAATTGGATCTTCCTCTGATAGTTCAATTTATCATAATAGGGGATATAACATAAACCTGATATCAAGCAAATCACAGCCACAGCCAGCCAACACGAGAACCATCCGCTTTTGATCTGTACAGTCACTTCTTCTTCCTCTACAGTCTCTTCGGGTTCTTTTATAAGGATAGGCACTTGCCCCCTGTACTTCACTTTACATTTGCTCAAGGCGTTCGGAGTGGAGGCAACTGCAGGCGCTTGTATAACCTCGTTCATTTCAGTTAACAGATTGCTCGTCTCCATAGAAGTCTCCTGATCGACATCCATGGGTGAATCATGGAAATCAGCTGCACTCGTCTCTAAGCACAATGTGTTTGCCGAAGGAAACTTGGATATCTCATCAAATGGGACACCGCCGTACACAAAATTTCTGTTAGGTGGAATACCATGGCCTTAAAACAACTGAATTACAATCAATGATAATCGATTGGGCACCGACACTCACCTATCAATTGCTGACAGCTGATATGCCTTATCATTGGACTTTCACCTTGTGCATGGTTTTTGCTTGGCCTGTAATAGTACTCTTCCATGTAAACTTTCCTGCAGATAGGTTCATTTGCAGATATGTCCGGCGTCGAAAGGGATCTGTTTAGGGGGGACCTCTCGTGGCATTTGAATTCCATTTAACGTAATTAAAGAGAAAAATGTAAATTGTACAAACGAACAAATCTAACGTGCAAATTAAATATGCATATGAATAAAAAAAAAAAACAAGGCACAAACACACACCTGATATATATCAACGGACTACGCAAATTTGAAAATTTAACACTGCCATCTGCATATTTATAAAAAATTCGCTGTGCCAAAAACTTTATGCAACTTAATATGCTTAACATTCAAATCTTAAATTAAAAACGTGAAGGTATTTCAACAAATTAAAATAACTTGTTCAATAAATGATTATAATCATATATTAGAAAATTTTAATTTATTGTTTTAAAGAACAATTCTTTCGCTTTCGTTTGCTATAAAATACGTTAGTTTTGGTGAATTAATAAGAAAGTTATTAAGCTTTAATGAGTTGGCGGTTTTCGGGAATCAAAAACATCGGTCAGAATATTCAAGAAACAGTCTGCAACCACACATACATACGCCTGTTGCAGACTATTTCGAGCAAAATGTTCGGACAGATGTAGCTGAATGTATAATTAAAATGCATATAGCTCGAAATCTAATTAGTATTTAAATTACTAGACTAAAGAAGTGGATTAGTGCAGCGCCAAAACGCTTGAACTATAACCTTTGAAATACAGCTAGCAGATGGCGCCAGCTGTAACGAAAAATGGAATATGTATTTTGCGCCTAAAGTACAGGCAACTGAATATACATTTACGCTTTGATAAATAATTAGAGAAACGACGTTTCATTTTTCAGTTTTTTTTTCTCGACAACCCCTTAAGATAATTACATCATCGACCACTCGTACGAAAGCTGAATGTCTCACCTTTCCAACGAGCCTATTGGCATCTTAGTGCTGTCCTCAAGTCGCTTGCTATGAGCTGTAGAAATTGAAAAACAGAGAAACAACGTTTCTTTTTTTTAGCCTTTTCAGTTTTTCGTGAATTTCTCAACAACAGCTTAAGATAATTACATCATCGACTACTCGTATGAAAGCTGAATGTCTCACCTTTCCAACATGCCTATATACATCATTGTGTTGTCATCAAATCGCCTGCTATAAGCTAAAGAACATTTTTTTCTCGTTTTTATTCAGTTTTTACAGTTATTCGTGAATTTCTCAACAACCCCTTAAGATAATTACATCATCGACCACTCATATGAAAGCTGAATATTTTGTCTTTTCAACAAGCCTACATACATCTTAATGCTGTAATCGAGTCGCCTGCTACAAGCTGTAGAAATTGAAAAAAAAAACACATACTTAACGTTTTATACGTTAACGGAGAATCGACGGTTTTCTCGTATTTTTTTCAGTCTTTTTAGTTTTTCGTAAATTTCTCAACAACCCCTTAAGATAACTACATCATCGACCACTCGTTTGAAAGCTGAAAATCTCACCTTTCCAACGTGCCTATATACATGTTTGTGTTGTCATCAAATCGCCTGTTATGAGCTGTAGAAATTGAAAAAAACAGAGAAACGACGTTTATTTTCAGTCTTTTTAGTTTTTCATTAATATTTCAACAACCCTTTACGATAATTACATCATCGACCACTCGTATGAAAGCTGAATATTTCACCTTTCCAACAAGCCTACATAGATCTTAGTGGTGTTATGGAATCGCCTGCTATGAACTGTAGAACCTTTCTTTTCATATTTTTTTTCAGTTATAACAGTTTTTCGTGATTTTCTCAACAACCCCTTAATATAATTACATCATCGACTACTCATATGAAAGCTGAATGTCTCACCTTTCCAACGACCCAACTGAAAGCTTTCTCCTATTATCATTTCGCCTACTATGATTATTAAAAATCGTTGTTTTCCAATAGGATTTTATTAAAAAATCGCAGTTGATTTTCTTTAATAACTCGAAAACTAATGAACTTTATTATGACTTTATTCCATATTCGGCAATATGTTATATAAAAAAGAAATAACGTAATTTTAATTACAATAAAAATAGTCTTAAGTAGGACTAAAAGTTTCAGTTATTCACTTACCTTCAATTATTACCATTTTATGATATAATAAGTAAATGCAATTTAAGTTTTAAGATTAAATCACATGCGAAAATCGTGTAGAATTCGCAAAGGAAATAATGGGATTCGAATTGATCGTGGAAGCGTAGGCAACCAGTCGATCGTCGGTGAGGAGGCGGGTTTCGGAAATTCGAAAAGAAAATGCGTCCGCGTTTTAGAAAATGGCATAATGAAAGTGATTTATTTTCATCCTCTTATTTTGTTTTTTTTTTAATCCTCTTATATAATCATTTACGCTTATTTATAGAATAAATCACATTACACAGTTGTCCCTCTAAATAATAAAACGGGCCTCCCTCGCGAAATAAGAAAAAAAAAACAAAAAAAAACACGCGCACCGATCTTCTTTCTTCATCTTCACATTTCATCATCATCATCATCATCATAGTCCTCCTCTTCATCTTCACAAAACATACAAATTTATTTTCTGTCCATCGAATGAGAAAAACAAATCAGTCGAAGAAGACAACGAACAATTTATATTAATATATATATATATGTATGTGTGTAAAAACAAAAGAAAAATAGTAAAAATAATAATGAAGAAGAAAATCATAGTAAGGGAGTCGAAAAACAAAACAAAACAGAAGAAAAGAGAGTAAATGTACAAAGATTATTATTATTCATTCATTTATCATTTTCAATAATAGATTTAGTTTATTTAATTCTTGTTTATCTTGTGATAATATATTTAATAATAATCATATATTTTTCATATATATATATTTATATTTCTTGTTTATTTTCAATATATATTTTATTCTTTTTGAATTCGCTAGAAAAGAAAAATTGAAAATGAAAAAAGAAACAATCAAACAAAAGAAAACAATTGAAGGAGAAGTCGCTTTTCTCTAAATAATCTTTCATCCCTCCGATTACAAATACACTCATTTACATTAATAATAATAATGTTTTCTCCTTCTTTCGAAGACTAAATCTTCCGTTTGGGTCTGATACATGTTAAAAAAAAAATGAATAAATCAAATTTTAAAGAAATGAAAAAGTTTTTCCGTCATGTACGAGTAAAAGTATCAAAAAATAAAGCAAGTCGTGAGAAACATCGCAGATATTCTCTTCTTCGCTTATTTATTTTGCTTAGCAACCGCAATCAAACAAAAATGCAAGATTGAACAAACAAATTTTTAAACAAACAATTTCTTTGTTTTCAAAGATATCTTCGATTAATTAACATGTACATTCCCAAACAACGCCATCTCTCTCTACACTCTCTTCATCACATATGCTTATTTTCTTTTTTCTTTCGACTAAATTCATTTAGATTTTAAAACATTAGTTACAAAGTGTGTGTGTTCTTTTTTTTTTGTGACTCATTTCCGCGTTTTATTTTTTTTTCAATTATTAAGATCGATTATTCGCATTTTTTTTTGTGTTGTTTTTCAAAAAAAATTAATTTCATTAAAACATTTATCTAATCGAGGGTGTCGAACAACAATAAAAGAACCAAAAAAGAAAAAAACAAAACAAAAAAAAAATGAAAATCTTGTACATACGAGGGGATGAAATGAAAACAATCGTAACGAAAATTTCGATGGAATACGAAAAACTTCTTCGATCATTTTCATCGAAATCCCTCCTCACTTCACAAAATCTCATACCAAAAAAAATGTCCATTTCCCGTGACGATTACAAATTTTACTATATAGACGGCGGACTATGTTTTTTTTTTTTAACTTTACGTTTATTACACAACAATTATGAACACTTCTTTAGCGAGCGTTTTCTTTTTTCAATTAAATTAAATTTTTTACATAATTTTTCCGAAAATTTTTTTTAGTTTTTTTTTTTCAATATAAATATACTTTTCTTGTTTTTTGAAATGTTACGAAATATCTACGAACAAAAAAAACACTCGCTCGCTCATTTCGTCATTTTTTTTTATCATATTAAATAATTATTATTACTATTAAACAATACGAAATAAAAGAAACCCCCCCAAAATCTAAAAAACAAAAGAAAATTTCAAAAAAAACGAATGACGTGAGAGCAAAATGATTTTTTTTTATATATATATATAGAATATGAAAGGTAAACGAAAAGTAATGTATATATATGTAAGACGTATTTATAAATAATATTTAGAATTGTTCTACCCAATTATTATTAATTTTTTTTTACAAATTTTTTTATTAATAATTGTTTATATATATATTTTTTGTTTTGTTATTAGTGTTTTTTTAGTGAGTGTGTGTGTATGTTGGGGGGTCGGCCGAAAAAACCATCTCTATAGCGACGCACATGAAAAATAACAAAAACAAAACTGTTCCCCGTTGTCCGTCGTTTAAGTTTTTACATCTTCAATGTTCTTTTTTAGTACGCATGTACACAGTACATAGGAATACTTGGCGCTCTTAGTCGGCAGTTTCATTTTCTTCATTCATTTCATATATATATTAGGGGATTTATCCGATTTACGACGATCGTGGGTGGCCGGAAACAAAAGCACGCTCATGCATTTATTGTGTCCTTTTTGTTTTCACTTCGCGCTCTTGGATGTTCTCTCTAGTTCTTCTTCCACTGTTCACTGCTCTCCTCGATTTGTTTCATTTATATATTTATGCATGTATATATATAAAAAGAAAATACTAAACGTCCATTCGTTGATGCAAAGAAATCCATATTATAACATACAATTTAAATGAGTCGTAAAATATATATATATACACATATTATATCATCCTCATCTTCGTCCCTTTCCTCCAACTTATCTAACTAATCTATCTATCTCTGTCTCAATCTCTCACTGTCTCTCTTATTATATATATATACTTTTTTTGTTTGTTTATATATATATATATGCTTATGAAGTGTGGAATTAATGTAAATATATATATTTTAATATATAGTATTAATATATATATATAGATAGTAAAATCTTTTTACCTAATAATTTTTCTCTTTTATGTATTATTATTATGTGTTTTTTTTTTGTTTGCTTCAGTTTTGTTTCCATTTTCTTCTTCTTTTTTCTTTCACAAATATCACCTAGCGACGAGAACGTGTGGTCAGACATTCGGTTTGGGCGGACGTGGCGCGTTGCCGTTGTTTTGCTGCTGCTGATGCTGTTGGTTGCTATGGTGATATTGTTGATGATGGTGGTGGTGATGGTGGTGTTCGTTGGGGTTTGGACGTCTCGGCCTCGATGCGGGAACGATGACGTGGGGCATTAACGTGGGTGCTGGCGCCGGCGGCGGCTGTTGCTGCTGCTGGCTCTTCTTGCCGGTGAATATCTTAACAGTCTTTTGTATAAAATCAGTCTTTTGTCCGCCGCCGCTGCTGCTTCCCGCCGACGTTGCCGCTCCGCAACCGTCCATCGTTGCGCCGATGCTGCCGCTGCTGCTGGAGCTCGCTCCGATGATGTTGGCGTTGTCGGGTCTCCTCGAAGATGAGGCCGACGAGGACGTCGAGTTGCAGCGGACCGCCGACAGCAGAGACCATTCGTTGCAGCTACCCCCTGAGCCGGATCTGTACGAGGGCGGCGACTCCGATTCGAGGACCGTGCGGTTCGGAGGCGGTCGTATGCATTTTTGATAAATTTCAGACTCCTGAAAAAACAAAAAAAAACAACACAAAAAATTAAACACTATAGATAATAGAATTTTTTTTTTTTCAATATAAATATACTTTTTTTTTTGTTTTTTGAAATGTTACGAAATATCTACGAAAGAGTTGAAATGAAAGACTACTTGCACCTTAACATTAAATACACAAACAATTTTGGTTGCTCGATACAAACGCGAACTGCAGAAATTTAATAAAAGAAAAATTGTCGCATCTCACAAATGGTGGATGCGCCGGGTCACCGACAAATTAAACCTTTCCACAATTCCAAAATTATGGGAAAAAACTTACAAATGAATCAACAATAAGCTTATAATTAAAAGAAAACCATAATTTTCAATAAATGTGACTCATTTCCGCGTTTTCTTCAATTATTAAGATCGATTATTCGAAATCTTGTACATAAGAGGGGATGAATTATGGAAAAAAAAACTTACAAATGAATCAACAATAAGTTTATAATTAAAAGAAAACAATAATTTTCAATGAATGTGACTCATTTCCGCGTTTTCTTCAATTATGAAGATCGATTATTCGCATTTTTTTTTTGTGTTGTTTTTCAAAAAAATAAATTTCATTAAAACATTTATCTAATCGAGGGTGTCGAACAACAATAAAAGAAACAAAAATTAATAAAAAATGAAAATCTTGTACATAAGAGGGGATGAATTATGGAAAAAGAAACTTACAAATGAATCAACAATAAGCTTATAATTAAAAGAAAACAATCATTTTCAATAAATGTGACTCATTTCCGCGTTTTCTTCAATTATTAAGATCGATTATTCGCATTTTTTTTGTGTGTTGTTTTTCAAAAATAAATTTTATTAAAACATTTATCTAAACGAGGGTGTCGAACAACAATAAAAGAAACAAAAAAAAAATGAAAATCTTGTACATAAGAGGGGATGAATTATGGAAAAAAAACTTACAACTGAAGCTTACAATTAAAAGGAAACAATAATTTCCAATAAATAAATAAATATTAATTTTCGTATTTCGATTTAACTTACAAAATATGAGGTTGGGTTAAATTTCGGTTAGGTTAGATTATTTCAATTTCGTTGTGGTTTGGGTTAGATTTTGGTTAAGTTAAGTTCGATTTCGGTGATTTTTTCAAAAATTAACAAAATATATAATATAAATTAATATGAAAATAACTTCTTAGATATCAATATTTAATTTAATATTTGAGCCGTTCATTTTGAAAGTGACTTAAGTCCATTTATCTTTAATTTGAAATACTTAATGTTTACAAAATTAAAAACATACGTAAGATATATGGTTGACTTGCAATGTTAAATCGCATTTGAGGGATTTAATTTTATTAAAAAGTATTAAAAAGTCGCTATTATTAAGTGTATAATATGACCTTGCTTACCTTAAAAGGACTTAGGTCACTTTCAAAATAAAAAATTTGTTTTGTTACAAAAAGTGAAAGAGCTTAAATCCGTTACATATAGCTTACAAAATAGAAAAAAAATATATTTTTAGATAATAGAAATAAATTTAGTAATAAGTTATTCGTATTATTAAAGTCTCCTAAGTTCCAAAACATTTCGAAAATACGTTTTCTTTCTGTTTCATTTAAATTTTTCAAGCAGTCTTTTCGGCATTGGCAATCTTCATTTTCAAAAAACTTTCGCAGGAATAATTTTTCCCGATTGTGTATTCGTATCTTTTCCCTGAATTCCGTTTAATTTTACGAATTTTCTGAATATAAGTACCATTTCTGTGTTCTCTGAATCCTTCTTTGAAGGTGCTGTTTTGTAAATTATCATTCTTAATTACTTCCTCTTCCTCTGTTGAAGAACGAACTTCTAAAATTCTCCTTCTTTTTTTGAAATCTGTTGTACGACTTTAATTCCTCTTCACTTTCAGAATCAAGAAATCTTGTTATTTTATCCTTTCCCATGGGTTTAATAATGTCTTTAAATTAAATATTATTTTTTAAATTTCAATTTAATATCAAAACGTAATTTAAATTACCTTCATCACTGCTTTCAACATTTTTGGTCGCACAATAAAAAGTGGACTTAGGTCACTTTCAAAATTAGGATTTTCAGTATTTATATTATTTTTAATTTTACGTGATATAAAATTTTCAAATGTACTAAGTATATTTCAATACCGATTTATTTTTTTTTTTTGACAGTTCAGCATAAATTATAAATGTCACATAAATGCCAACTTGATAAAAGATGAAAATGGACTTAAGCCACTTTCAAAATATAATAATGGTTTTTTTTATGTATTTAATTGAATTGAATTTAGTTACCTGTTCTGTATCACGGATTTGCAGCCTGTTGTTGTACGGATGATCCTCACCATCTGGAAGAGATATACTGTGGGGCAGATTACGTCTGATGTCCATCGAGTGCAGATGATTGTTCTTGTTGGGCGTCGTACGACCGCCGCCTCCGCCTCCACCTCTCAATCGGTCCATGCCGCCCACCCCCGCCGTGGCGCCGGCACTCACCACCGACAGCATCTGCAA